TTTTTGCAGTATCTCTTATCATTAATTTCTAATTTCATAGCATTATGATCTGATAATATGCAAGGGATGATTTCAACTCTTTTGCATTTATTTAAATTTTTTCTGTGAGCTAATATATGGTCTATTTTTGAGAATGACCCAGGTACTACTGAGAAGAATGTGTGTTCTGATGTTGTTGGATGGAACACTCTGTATATGTCTATCAAGTGCATTTGTTCACATGTGTGAATCAGTTCTATTATTTCTTTGCTGATTTTCTGTCTGGTTGATCTGTCCCTTGGTCTCAATGGTGTGTTAAGGTCTCCTGTTATAATTGTGTGACTGATAATTTGGTTTTTCATTTCAGTTAATACTTGTTTTATATAACTGTGTGCTCTGGAATTTGGTGCATATATTTAAGATTATTATCACTTCCTCTTGAAGTTTTCCCCTAACCCGTATTACATGACAAACTTTACCTTTTCTGATCATTATTGATTTAAGGTTCACATTGTCTGCAAACAGAATAGCTACTCCTGCTTTTTTGTGGGGGTTTCCTGTTGCATGAAGTATTGTTTTCCATCCTTTGACTTTCAGTCTGTGAGTATCCTTCTGGGTTAGATGGGTTTCCTGTAAACAGCATATGGTTGGATTATGTTTCTTAATCCATTCTACTAGTCTGTTTCTTTTGATTGGTGCATTGAGACCATTTACATTAATGGTTATAACTGTTGTATGCTGGTTTATTGCTGACATGTTATGTCTCTGCTGTTGCATCTTTATCTTTTTGTTCTGTTTAATTATCTGCTTTGCTTAGTGGTTTTTTCCTTTGCGTATTTAACTGTCTCTCAAAATTTTTTGCAGGGTTGGCTTGGTGTTCATGAAGTTCTTCAGCTGTTCTTTGTCATGGAAGTGTTATATTTCACCATCAATTTTGAATGATAGTTTTGCAGGGTACATCAGTCTAGGTTGGAAATCATTTTCCTTTAGGATCTGTAATACTTCACTCCATGCTCTTCTTGACTTTATTGTTTGTGCTGAGAAGTCTGCTGTGATTCTGATAGGTTTTCCTTTATAAGTTATCTGTCTTTTCTCTCTGACAGCTTTTAATAATCTATTCTTGTGTTGGATTTCTGGGATGGTGATTATTATATGTCTGGGTGTAGTTTTGTTTTGGTTATGACTATTTGGAGTTCTATAGACTTCACTGAACCTGATGTCGGTTTCTGATCTCATGCTTGGGAAATTTTCAGCTATTACTTCTCTAAATATCCTCTTGACATCCTTTATGTTGTCCCCTTCTTTTTCATTAATCCCTATCAATCTTATGTTGTTTTTCTTTGCATATCTTGCAGTTGTTGAATTGTTATTTCCTGATTCCTTGTTATTTTTAACAGATCTTTCCTTTCCTATTCACTACCTGCAATCTTGTCTTCGATGTCTGAAATTCTATCTTCACTTTCATTAAGGTGGTTTTTACAACTTTCAGTGGAGTTTTTTATTTCCTGTATATCTCTGTGCATCTGCATTATGTATTCTGTTTGTTTCTTATGTTGCTCATCCAGAGATTCTATCTTTTTATTTAGTTCCTCCAAGTTTTTAACTGTGTCTTCTTTAGATATCAGTATCTCCTTCATTTCTTTTATCATTTCTTCTTTTACCTTGGTGAGTATTTCTAGTTTGAATTCCTTTAAAGCTTTCCAGAGTTGCTTCTTTATTTCAGTTGCTATTATGTCCAATATTTTTGGTGTATGGCATGTATTTTCGTCTATGTACATAGCTCCTAAGGTTTCCTGGGATGGGCTGGAGGTTTGAGATTGTAGTTTGGTCTTTCATTTTGTCAATTTCCTATATTTCTGTTTCAAGTGTTATTCCAAGGCTTCCTCGGGGTCTGTTGGAAATCTTCTTCGATGCCCTCAGCTCCTGGGCCTCTGGCCACCCAGTTCCTCAGATTGAGAGAGGGTCATTGGGGTGTGGCAGGCCCACTCAGGGCCTTCCACTCTGGCCCAGTGCAACTGGAAGCTGCAAAGTTCCCTATCCGTGGCCAAGTGAGTGTCCCAAGCTAGCTGGGCACCTGCAAATGCTTGCTTACTTTCTATGGGGGCACTGCAACTAGGACTGCCAGATCCACTTTCCCAGAGGCTGGCCTCTCATCATAATTGATTTAAAAGACTGTATTTTTGACATTGCTGTTTTTCCCACAGATAGACCTAGTTTTACCTTTTCCATCATAATTGATTTAAAAGATTACTTTTCTTAACATGCTTATGTTCCCCATAGATAGACTGTTTTGCCTTTTCCATGCTTAATTTAAAGTTTAAAAGATCAATACAGCTAATAATGTGGAAGCGAGGTTGTGTTTGTGTCTTAACAGGTGGAAGATACCTGAGAAATATACAGCCTTGAAGGAAGACACAACCAATGCTAAGAACAGCCTTAGGTAATGGCTCAACCAACTTGGGCCAGAGACACCTGCCTATCAGCCATAGAATCTATCCCCATCTCTCTCAAGATACCAGGAGAAAAGACAAATGATCCAGTAGAATGACACCATGCAACAATTCATGAGACTAGAGATATTGCCACCAGAAGGAGAATTCCACCAACCCCTGAAAATCTTTTGGTTGCCTTAATGGTTCTGCTGGCCATATCTGTATATATTACACCTGTCTCAGGAGTGGAGTAATGGACTTCTGTCTCTGACCCAGCACTACTTGGACCTATAATATTTGGGCAGATTCTCCACCTGAGATTTATAATGAACAAATTTGAATTCCTAAATTGTGGCATTACATGCCACTAATTTCTGTATAACTCCTCTGCATTATAGCAAAACTTTGCATCCTTGGGAGGATATAAAGAAGCATGTACAAGGAGCTATCCATCCAAATGTTACTATGGATATTGACACTCTCCTGAAAGAGGTGTTATCAGTGTCCCAACAAACCCAAAAATTTGACAAACAAATTCAAGAATGGGACAAAAATTCTGATGTCTTAGCTTGTCAAAGGGGATCTAAGGTGAACCGACTCCTAGAAAACATTCAGTTATGACTTACACTGATGCAGCTTTGTTACAAAAACAAAGGGGAGGAGATGTTGGAGACCACTACCCAGTGGCCCTGAACAGGATTTAAAATTAAATAATTGGCTTTCTATGTTTATCTGTGAGTCTGTCCTAGGCCTCGGTCCCTTGCTTGGCAGTGGGGAGCTGATTCATAATAAGTGAACTTCTATGAATCACTGGTCCTGGCTGAGGCCTGTAGTGGCCTATGAGGCTAGAGATACCTCAAAGGGCAAGATAAGGCCACAGCTGTGGACACTTGGCTCCAACACTAATTAAGTAAATAAATAATTCAGATGGAGGAATTTCACTCCTGCACTCACACTCCTACCATAAATATCATCTTGGAGATAAAGCAGGTCTCCTAAATTGGCATAATTTACAACTTGGAGAAGTCTTTGAAATGATTTCCAAGTCCTGCTCATTTCCCACACTTTCATCACATTCCCCACCTTTTATTGTTGGGCCTAATAAAAGTGGGCTGGTTCAGAGAAGTCTTTGTCTTCGCCTTCAGAGTCTCAAGCTCAGCTAAAGGGTTTGGATGCTCCTGGAGCCCTAAAATCATACCATTTGTCCATTTTATTCAACCCTCCACTGTACATTTGTTTGGGAGATCAAAGTTCTAGGTCAGGACCCAATAATTCACCAAACTGTTCATAAAACAGTTGAAATTGTTGCACAAAAAGTGAAAAAACATGCTTTTTATTTAATCCTTCATTTAATCTTATATTTCTTTTCCTTTTTCCTTTTATAACTAAGTCTCTTAAAGGTAATGAAGTATTCCTCCCATTTCCTTATTATTGGATTGTGTTTTTATGTAAGTATCTGTCTAGCTTGTACCCAGCACAATTAACATTTAAATTCAGCATTGAAAAGTCATGTCTCCATCCTACCTACTTGGCATATTTACGCCATTCAGCACTTCTCATTAGTCCTTCCTTCTTATTTGGTTTCCTTTTTCGTTTTATGACCTCTTTGATTACTTCTTGGTGCTTTGCTCTTTGCCTTATTCTTCTACCTGATATTTATGCTTGTGTTTTCCAGGGACCTGTCCATACCTTCCCAATATGTATCTGTTATGAAACAGTATGATCATCTTTGGTCAGAATATTTTTTCCTACCCCTTTCTCTGTTCTTTCTTCCCCACACTCCTTCAGCTTTTCTGACTTGTCACATAAATGAACACATTTTTCTGTCATGTTTCTTATCTGGACAGGTCTATCCCTTTGAAGTTAGAATTTTTAACTTAGACCTCATCCAATAAACCCTCCCTCTTTAATGTAGATTCAACTTACTAAAGTGAAGTACTGTGGAACAAAAGTAGGTTTTCTTACTCACATGACTTAAGATCCTTTCCTCAGTATATTCACTTCTGAATTCATTTCCAATTTCTGCTCTAATTCTCTACACACCCAGAATTTTGCAATTTCAGCCATATTGATTACTTCTGTCTATTATTCTTACACTTGTCAGTTTATAATACACTGTATTACTTAATATGCATTAATTGATTAGCTATTGCCTTCATTTGAACTTAAACTCCAAGCAGAATTTTATGTGTTCTAAGACCTCTAGGACTCTAAATTTCCTGGAAGATTTCCAGGCACAAAACAAATATTTAAATAAATAAATCAATACATTATTTGGTCCTGTAATATCAAATAGAAAATCATGCAAATAGCAGTGCAATGCAATTAAGAAATCATAATTTCTTAAACCAATGTAATGAATGAAAATCTTTTGTCTTTGCAGCTCTAACTAGTTTGATGAAGAAAGGCATGTATAAATGAGAAACAGTGATTTGGAGCTTCAAAGAAGAATAATACATTACAAGAGATCAATGTGCAAGAATACAGATGTGTCTGTAGTATCCAAGTTGAAAAGGTCTGTAGAAAATCTTCAGGAAAATCTTTTCGCATTGCTTCAGTGGCAGAGATTTTTTCAAAGCAATTACTTACCAGCACTTCCAGAACAAAATCCACCTCCGTGTATAAAAAACACAGCCCTTCTTAGTGCCTCTGTCTTCCTCTTTGGTATATATACACGGACAGGTGTATTGTCGAATTTTGTCTCAATTACAGTGACATTTTCATCTGAAGTTGGAGGAACTTCATTTAATGCTGTAGTTACTGCTAGTAAATCCAAAAAATTGTAAAGTCCCAGGAACTCCAGAAATGTACCCTGAAATTGAAATTTATACACTTTTATATTTCAATTTGAAGAGATTTTTGAACACTTAAGTGCATATCAATTCTTTATTAGCTCAAAAAAATTAATGGCATCCTCATAAAAGAACCTCCTTTATCTTTTTTGAAGAATCAGAAGTGCAGTATTTATGTCTACAGCAATTGTTATTTCAAAAAGGGAATGCACATATTGAATCATTATTTCACAAAATTGCTTAATTTCCCTACTCATCTTTAGAGTTCCAGAGATGAGCAAGACACATCTTTTCTCAGGAACCTCCAACAGAAGGGTGAAAGACAGGTAATGAGCTGTTAAAAAAAGTAATGCAAACACTCCAAGAGATGTGCATCCAACACTTTGACATTGTCCAGTGTTGCTAGCTAATGCCTGTTGGGAAAGTTTTTTAAACTGAAAATACATTTATCCATTTAAAAGACAGACCTTCTTTTAACAATATAAGTCAACAAACACGTAAAGGGAAAAAATTGTTCTGTACAAAAGTACTATTTTTTTTAGGGATAAGGTAACCCTTTGTAATATTAGCAGGAGACAGATGTGAGAGTAAAGGGAAGAATGGGAGAGAAAAGGCAAGCCAGTCTGCCTGCCTAGCCTGTGCTGCCCAAGAATGAGACAGTTTGCCAAGCACTCTGTGGGTGCTGGTCTCAGTAAAATTACTCTAGCTTTATCTGAAATAGATAACATTATCATTGTCATAAGGAAAAGGAACCCAAAGAAGATAAGAAGTCTAAGTTTGCATAACTAGGAAGTGATATTTACTGGTATTGTAAGTCCAACAGAGTTAATTCTGGACTTTGATTCTTCATTTGCAGAACAATTGTTCAACAAAATATATGAGTAGAAAATCACAGTTATCGATATGAGTATGAAGGAAAGCAGTCAAACCAATCAGAAAAATTTCAAGGACAAGGAAATAATTGAACACAATAAACAAAATATAAGTACATCAGAAAAAATTCATTAAAATTACTTTTATAATGTATTGCTTTAGAGAATACTGAAATATTCTCTAAATATACCATATATATATACCAAGTTTAGAAAGCAAAACACACAATTAAAGAGCTTCAGAGGAAGAAAAACTCACAGATAACTAGATGTATGACAACTGAATAATAAAAGAAATTCATAGCTACAGTCAAATAACAACAACAATAAAACAAAACAACCCAAAACCTTAGATATTTTTCATACAAAAGGGCAAATAGAGCAAGTATTAGAAAAATAAGGCTACTTCTTAAAACCCTTGATAGCATATTACACACAGAATTAAATCAAAATGTATTATATTTGGGCAAAAAGCACACTGTACAATATGCCATACTATCTTTTCAAATTAAATTGCAGCAATATTCCCATCCATTGAAAGTGCTTTACATTATTTTTTAAATGTATCAATCTGTGTATTGATTTTTGTTTTTGCAGTTTTTTATGCTGGAAACAATTTCCTCAGCATTTAGAGTATTGATAGAATTTTTCTCTTTTTCACAGCTTCCTCCAATCATGAGTGCAATAATCCTGTCTACATTATCCATCCACATTAGTCTCTTCTTACCTGTTTCATCTCCTTCAAGTCACATGTTATCATCTGAAATTCATTCATTTAATTCTAAATTATTATATTTCCACTAAAATATCTATTCTTTGGGAGCTGATCTCTTTTTTGCCTAGGAAGATTTGACAAAGAATCGAAAAGTTGAATAAATGAGAAATAAAAGAAATTACATCTACCTAATTTAAATTTTGAAAAATGAACTTTAAATATGATATAACTGAAATACTGAAAGAAATAATGAGGAAACATCTCAAAGGTACCAGAGAAGACCACACCTTTCTTGTCTGTGCCAGAGTTGTTCTGGGAAGCAACCAGCTTCCATGACAGCAGGGTCTCCCCTCCTACCTCTGCATATTTTGCCTCTCTTGGGTAACACTGAGCATGTACCACCAATGTGGCCTTCATAGTTTCTTGAAAATTACTGATGTGACCTTGTTATGTACTCTGAAACCTGTAGAAGAGTGCATAAAGATACGAAACTAGTGCTGCATAGCAAGATGATCCCTGGGTTATTTTCAGAATTTAAATGCCAACCAGCACATAAGAATAACTACAAAAGATGACACTGATCATGTTGATGATATCTAAACAAAGCATTTCATAAATATAATCTGTTGAAATGGCTCCTTGTTTATAATTATAATATGGAAAGCAAGCTAAAACATTCACATTTCTAAGTATTAATCAAAACCATAACACATTTTAAATCAGTAAATGAAATGAATCAATAAATCAGTAAATAAAATGAACAGAATCCTAGAAATCTTCACATCATATATAAGTCAGAATTCATAAAATGCCATGCAAATCATAAAGTTCCAGACTTACCAAATGTACAAAAATTTTCAGACAAGTGTTGTGCCATATTAGCTTCCATGGCTCCTCAAAATTTTCTGGAATAGTCTTAGGAATATAATATGCTACAAGGACCACCACAAGCAGAAGGAATTGTGATTTTCTTCCCATGCTGAAATTTGTGTGATTCTCTGTCTGCAGAACACAAAAAGTAAACTTCGTAGATGTACCTTAAAATAGTAGAATTTAATAACTAGTGTGCTTCAGCCTCACCAAAAAGGTTTACTTTCTATTTCTGAGACGTGCTCACTTCCTGTTAGGACTGGTAGAGTAAGCTTGGATTTAATTGGATGTCTGACAGCAGTCACACTGATTATGAGTCAAAGTTTAATGTCCTAAGCAAGTTCTGTGAACAATCATGCACTTATCTCTGTTCCTTGAAGCAAACCTGTGTTAAACAACATGAAAAAAAATACTTTAAGTCTATCATAGTTATGTGTAAAAAACATGCAGGATCTTTCTTGTATTAAATTCATTATAGTAAACAGAAGAACAAATGAATGGCTTTTTAAAGTATTGAGAGTGTAAGAAATAACCATTACCTTTAAATTGAGAGGATTTACATTATCACGAGAGAAATGTTAACAGTTATAATAATTTTTGAGAGGAATTATAAAAATAGTAATGATAGTAAAAGAAAGATTAATAGTGAATGTTTATAAGCTATCTATTCTAAAATTCAGACCCTATGGTGATCCACATATGTAATCTAAATGGCTGTAAACAACTTATTAGATCAATAATAACCTTTTTGCATAAGTATGCAAAATGAGTTTTAAAATGTTAAGTGGCTGGTCAAAGTTTCAGAAAAGTTTAATATTGAGTAAAGAATAATTTAGGTAATAAAGGCAGTACATAGAAATCATTCAGAACAATTTTATTCCACAATGACTTGTGTGTGTCTCTGTATGTGTGTGTCTACAAAGATGAAATAATAAATCACATTCTTACATGGCTGAGAATGATGCTTTTGATAGATTACTGTATTTCATGTCTTAGCTCTTTTCTGTACTCTGACATATTTCTGCCAGGTACTTGCAGCTAACCATTTCATCAAGCAGTGCTGCATTTCTTTCATGGGTAAAGCCAGGCTAGTGTACACAACTAGATTTTTTTTGTACACAATAGATTTTAAAAATATATTACAATATGACCTCAATGATTTTTAAATTAACATTGCAAGTCTGCTCATTTTCTTTACTTCTAGAATTAAATGGAGTGCTTGAAGTGAGTAATTTATTTTCATTTTACATAACTGAAATCATATTTATTGTAACAAAATTAGAAAATGTTGAGATTCAAAAGGAAAATAAAGTACTTCAAAGCACTTCGTGGAATACATCGCTAGCATTGTGAGGAAACAGATAAAATTTCATGGTTACCTATGGTAGTTCATAGGCACTCCATTTAGAGATAAAAGAACATAATGATAATATTATAATGACTTAAAGTTTAATGCAACAAAACTGAGGTCGTCTACCAGCCTGACAAATTTAATTTGTGTGATGTTCGATTATGCTTGCTTGGTCATTCCATTATTCATAATTTACATAGCTTTCTTTTATGTACTTTTTGTAGTATTTACAACCTTAACATGATTTAAATTCAATATTTGACATTGAATTTCCCTCCTTGATCCCTAGGTACTGTATTTTCCCTACTGATGAAGTTCCTGATGATCTTTTCAATGTGGACATGCCAGTGGTCTTTCTTTAAAGAATAAAGTGAAATAATAATTTCAGTGCTAATCTGTGGTTGTCATCTTTCATTTTATTCCTGAGAACTAATTAATGTTTTCTGTCTACAAAAAATGAACAGAGAATGAGAACCTTCAGGAGAAACTGAGGATGCCTCAAGTCCTCCAGCCTTCCCTGCACAGCCTGAGCTAAGCAGTGTGGTTAGAAGGGGAAGGGATTCCACAGAGGATTCATGCACCTGGACAGCGAGCTCCCCTGGATGGACTCAGAGCAGGATCTTGTCATCTGGAACCACAACTCCAAGGGAGTCAAGAACACTGTGAGGCCAAGTGCTATTTCCAGGGACTGGAATTTGGAGCTTCCCTCACTGCAGAGGCCTGGCAGATACCAGAAAAATTTCATGCAAGAAGCCAAAGGCATGATAAGGAAAACAGCAGCAGTTTCAACACTGTATGACATTTTCCTTGCACTGGTGATGGGTGGTAGCACAGAGTCCAGTGGACAGGATGGAGATGTTCTGCTTCATGACTCGGAGGAGACTCAACAGAGGAGGACCTGAGCGTGGTCTTCTTTTCAGCAGAGCTCACCGGTGGATGTCACCAGGTGGGAATGTGTGCAAGGTGGTTCTCTCAGGAGATGATGGTTTCCTGCTAGAGTAGGAGCTCATGCATGCCAGGACACACAGGCAGAAATGTCCTTGTGATGATGGGAGTTTTGTAGCCACACTGATGCTTTCATTGAGAGACTGGTGTATGTATTCTCAGTGTTTGGACCTGAGCTGGGAACTGTGCATCCAGAGACAGAATTTGTCACTCCAGGATCATCAGAGCTCTCAGACATGGAAACCAGCAAGTGATGAGGACTCAGACAGGAAGCTGCTTGGGTTGGGAGTAGGTCAGTGTTTGCATTGATTCTCCCCCTGGTTTTCCAGCAGCTGCAACACCTCTCTGAAGGTAATAACTCAGAGTACTACCACCTCCTGGGCACCAGGTTGGCTAAAGAGTCTATGCTGAAAGTTGAGGAGTTCCAGGCAGAAACCAGTCTGTTCTAGAAGCCAGAGATGAAGTCCAAGCTAAAAGTAAAGACTGGAGCTCCTCCCACGAACCAGCAATCAGTTCCTCCTCATTTCGCTTTTATTGTATGCATACTACACTCATCCAGTGGGTTTAGCCCTCACACCATCACCCTGCCATCCTCTCACACATGTTGAGTATGTTACAAAGTGGGGAGCCCTGGCCCCTGCTAAATCACTTCTTTAAACTAACCAGTTGACACAGTGCATCAATCATTACAGAGATGAAAACCTGGGTTTAAAATTATATCTTTGAAGTTAGTTGACTTTGAATAATTTAAACAATGTCACTTTGCCATTTTTCTTCTTATTCTTTTTTTTTTTTTTTTTTGAGAGAGAGAGAGAGAGAGTCTCACTTTGTGATGCAGGCTGCCTTTTAGCTCACTTCAAGGCCCAGGCTGGCCTTGAAGTCTCGGTGATCATCCTGTCTCAGCCTCTCAAGTGCTGGGACTACAGATATGCTCTGCTGTCAGACTTACTTCATTTCTGTAATGGAATCATTAAATTAAGTTTAATCATAATATTTTGTGAGTATTAAGCAATGAAATATTTTAAAATGTATGTTACAAGTTACTTCATATTATAGTCTTTTAAAAAGAGACTAAACATTAATTTATGATACTGACACGAAGTTTATTTTCAAAGATAATGCTAGATTTTCATCAACAATATTGAAGGTCAGAGTGTAGTGGAAATACATATACAAAGTTCTACAAATAAATTTACTCTAAAGCAAAAGTTTTTTCAATAAATTTTAGAAAAATTATCCTTCAAAGTGAAAGCCAATTGAGTCATTATGTTATAAGTAAAAATTTAAAAAGCTGTAAATTTGCTCATACTATACTTCAGATAATACCAAAGTCCTTTATGCTGAACTGAAATTGTATAACAAGGTAATTGAAATACACAAGAAGGGATGAGGAGAATTAAAAGTGGTAAACTTTGTTCATTTCATAAAAGATTGTTTAAGTGTCCTCTACCTTTAAATATGCAGATTATTAAAAATGTATTTTGTTTGATGCTACTAAATGCATCTAATATTCTTATAACTGCTGTTTTTATAGTTTATCTTTTTGTATTGCTTTGGATTCAAGCTATTTGTTTATGTACTATCTTGACTTTTCTCTCAAACTGTATTTATTCTGTACATAAAATATATCACCATGATGAATGAAAGAAGCAGCAAAACATACAATCTGCCTGTAGGAAGTTTGCCTTCCCTTAAGATTATTTAGCTAGAAGTAGTTATGATAAAGTTAAATATTGTAAAACAACATCATGAGAGTGAGTCAAACATATGAAAAAATAAAGTTTTTTATCTAGTACAAAAAATTTAACTTATAAAATATTTAAAAGAAAAATAGGAAAGTAAAATATGCTAAATAAAAGAGGAAAATAAAGTATTTCAAATAAAATATTTAAAAGAAAAAGAAGAAACCTGAACTATAAAAAGTATACAGTGAAATGATACTGTTATGGTTCAGATCCAAGTAGCCCCAAGATAGATCCTCTCATGCTCACAGCTAGGGGGTTTAAAAGGTGATTGGATTATGTGATAGTATAGATAATTTAATATTAGAATTTGGGTCTTTTAGGGAGAGATGAGTCACTGGGGGTATCACCTGGAAAGATGTATCTCCCTCCAAGTTTCCTCCATGATCTCCCTCCGCTTTCTAGATGGAATGTCTTCAACCTGGTGCTAGATTTTACAAGAAGGATAAGGATGTATCACAATATTTTTATAAATCTCTATTTTTGTATAAAATTTCAGAGAAGCATTCCCTATATTCTTGGTCAATTATCTCAAAAAGTTATTCATGGAAAAAGACATCCATAACTACTTCAGAAAGTGGTAAGTACAATAAGGAAAATAGGTTTGATGTGAAGTCATGTGTTTTTGAAGGGGATTAAGGACAATGTGTTTTTAATTGAAATAACTCTTTTAACATTCACTGTATATTTGTATCACACTGCATAATTTGTGAGTGTGTTTGATTTTATGTACAAGATACCTAATAAGTGAGCCAATGACTTGTGCTGATAGACTTGAGTGCTAGAGCAAAGAAAGGATTTCAAAACCCCTCTGCCTCTGGACCTTTGTATGTAAATAAAATAGTGCTTCAAAATTATTGAGTAGAAGGGTGAGTTATGAAGGATGTGACAGTATCTATTAGGAAATATCGTGCACCCAGGTGTTTGAAGCAATAACATTTGTCTTCTTCTTGCAGACATTTTTAATTCATAAAACCACTTTACAATTTCTATTCCAGATCTTCCCTGCCATGGCCCATGAGGTCCTTGAGGTTTCTTAGGTGAAGAACTTCAATAGGATGGGAAAATAAAGAACAGACACAGCTGGAGTCATATGCAGCCCTTGCTTTCCAGATGGTAGGAAGGGAACTGCTCCCTCACTGCAGGGATATATATATATATATATATATATATATATATATATATATATA